TGTGATGATAAAACATCAGTCTTTACAAACCATGGAGAATAAGTTGGATAAAAGCCTTTCTCTGTGCAAATCATGATATATTCCCTCAGAGTAAACAGGAAACAACAGATAGCAGTAGGTATTATTTTACCTAATATAAATGTATCAACAAAGAGACTGAGATTATGAACTAAGTAAATTATTACCACATCTCCATGGAATAAATAAAAATTTGGTTTTCTATGTTTTCCTGGCTTGTTTCTTGTTTCTATATTATTCTCCTCTGTATTTGAAAAAGTATGAAGATTGATCCTGACACCTTCCTTTCTTTCATAAAATACTTGTCACTTACCTTCTAATGATACCACTCAAAGAGAGAAAGAGAGAGATTATGAAGAAAGTTGAGGATGCATGGGTAGGGAAGAGCCTGAGGCCCACCCTTTTATATGACTTGTGCCAAATTTGGCAGACTCATTCCTATGAATAGCTCTAGATATAACGTCCACTTAGAAGCACTGCAGGACTGAGTCTAGCTGCTGGATTCCAGTCCACACTCTTGTCTTCACCCTTCATTCTAGGAATTATTAACACACTGTTACTCATCTATGTTCTGACACTGTACTGCTTATTTTTCTTTTGTTTGTCTGTCTGTTGTCTGTTTGTTTTTGTTTTGCTTTGTTTTTGTTTTACCACCAGCCAGGTAATTGGGTTTTTGTCCTCTTTTGTTGGTTGGTTGGTTGATTGATTTTTACTACATTTCTTTTAATGGTTGAACACTAACTTTAAAACTTCATTCTATGTCTTTCTATCTTCTTCTTTACTAAGATGCCCTGCGCTCTGCAAAAAGTTTGGCTATGAATTTCAGGATATATTTTGAAAGACCTAGAGGGAACAGGAGCTCCACAAGGAGAGCAACAGAACCAAAAACTCTGGGCACAGGAGTTTTTTCTGAGACTGATACAACAAAGGACAATGCATGGAGATAACTTAGAACCCCTGCACAGATGTATCCCATGGCAGCTCAGTCTCTAAGTGGATTCCCCAATAATAGGAACAGGGGCTGTCTCTGACATGAACTGATTGTCTTGCTCTTTGATCACCTCCACCTGAGGGGGAAACAGCCTTACCAGTCCACAGAAGAAGACAAAGAAGCCAGTCCTGATGAGAACTGATAGACTAGGGTCTGATGGAAGGGGAGGAGGACCACCCCTATCATTGGACTGGCTTATGAGAAGGCTTATGGAGGGCATATGAGAAGGAGATGGAGGGAGGGTGAGATTGGGAGGGGATGGGAGAGGGGGCTACAGCTGGAATACAAAGTGAATAAACTGTAATTAATAAAATAAAATAAAAAAACCTTCATTGTATTTTAATAGAATTTGTCAAACAGTATTTTAAAAGCCAAAAAGAATTGTTACTATTCAGAACAAAATGAGATACAGAAGCACTGCACTACATAGGAAGGAAGTATGTGAGGCCTGATATTAAACTTTTTTCTGTTTACATTTTTGCATTAAAATTTTAATTAATTAATTAACTATTACAATTTATTCACTTTGTATCCCAGAAGCCTCTCCCATCTGATCCCAGACCCACCCAGCCTCACCCTTCTCCCCCATGTCTCTCCCCTAGCCCCTGATAGGGCAGGTCCCTATCAGGGACCTCCCCTCTTACCTGACCCTAGCCTATCAAGTCTCATCAAGGCTGGATTCATCATTTTTCTCTGTGGCCTGGCAAGGCTGCACCTCCCAGGAAGAGGTGATCAAAAAGGCAGCCACTGAGTTACTAGGGAACCTATTTGAAAACTGAGCAACCTATGGGTTTCATCTGAGTAGGCGGTCCAGGTCTTCTCCATGCATGGTCTTTGGTTGACTCATCAGTCTCTGCAGGACACCTTGGGCCCAGGTTTGTTTGTTTGTTTGTTTGTTTGTTTGTTTTGACCTTGTTGGTCTCCTTGTGGAGTTCCTCCAGGTCTTTCTATCTCCCCCTTCTTCTATTAGGTTACCTGCACTCTGCCCAAAGTTTGGCTATAAGTCTCAGTATCTCCTTCAATACCCTGACAGATAGAGCCTTTAAGAGGCCCCCCGAAGAAGGCTCCTGTCCTGCTCCTTGTCTTCTCCTACTTTTGATGACTATCCTGTTTTCTCTTGTGAATGAGGATTAAGCATCTTCCCTAGGATCCTCCTTGCTGTTTAGCTTCTTTAGGACTATAGATTTTAGTATGTTTAGCCTATATTATACGGCTAATATCCACTTATAAATTTATGAGTATATGCCATATGTGTCTTTCTGCTTTTGGGTTACCATACTCAAGATGATCTTTTCTTTTTTTTTCCCTTTTAATAATTTATTTTAGAAAAATGTAGGAAATAACTAAGCAGAGACCAACACCAAAACACAGATTTCTAAGTAGAAAAGAAAAAATAATTCAAGTGTTGGTAGTCAACTATCTTCCAATTTCAGACGTTTTTCTGGTTGAATAATATGTTTGCGGACAATTCCACTTTCATGTATTTTGAACTTGAAACAATATGTTTTGCCATAAGCCATTGTGTGGGCCCCCTATGTTGTGTAACCATTAATTCAGAATTAAAACATTCTTTTCTGGAGAAAGCTTGCAGGGAGCAAGCAAAATCCCTAGTGATGTTGTTGACATGGGCACAGACATGTCAAGGATCCCAACTCCACTGTCCACTGGAAGTGAGAAGGCCTTCACTGGCATGAGGTTCATAGGAATGCAAAGCCTTGCTCCTGTCAAAGTGTTTTTTGAGACACCAAGTGCAGAAAATGTCCACCGTGGCTTTCTTCTCCCAGGATATTTATGGCATGAAGTCTGCTCAGGGACAGAGACTGTTCCTACTGAGATTAGTTAAACGTGTCTCCTTGTTTGGTTGTGTGTAGTACCCTGTTCCTTGTTTAACAACATTATAATATATATATATATATATATATATATATATATATATATATTATACATAATAATTGTCCCTCATTATTTAATAAACACTCTTTGCTTCTGTGGCAGCCTCTGCTTTTCCATACAGAGTCCCCCTCATCAGAGCTTTTCTGTATCTGTGCATTCAGGTCAGCCGCCAATTCAATAAACGCTAACAAAAATATTTCCATCAGTTTAAGGGGGACTGTACTCCAATTAATGCCTGTCCCTCCTTGGATCATATTCTGCTAGGTAAATTCACTCTGCTTGCTTCAAAGGTTTGATATACTGGTATTTTTATTGTCTTCTTTGAATTAAATTTCCTCCTTATTCCTCCTCCTCCTCTTCCTCTTCCTCCTCCTCTTTCTCCTCTTTCTTTTCCTCCTCCTCCTCCTCCTTTTCTCTCTCTCTCTTTTTTTTTCCATGTAGCTCTGGCTAGCCTTGAATCCTCCTGCCAGTCTTCTAAGTGAGGGGAAATTTTGAAACAACATAATCTAAGTGCAGAAGCAAAATGAGGAAAATATTTCTAATATTGTTTTTCATTTTTCTAGTATTTACGAATGTGCACGTCCTGAATCTTAGTGATATCTTTTGAAAAGAGATGCTCAACATTTGGAAATCCAGTTGCAATGTATTGCCTGTGTTTCGGCACCCTTGAGAAACACTGCCAGTGCCTGCTCATGTTGCTTTATCAGTATTGTTTCAGCAAATATAGGCTGGATAGTCAATAAGCAGAGCTTGCTAATCTTTGATTGTGTTATTTGCTTGACACCGAGATCTACTTTCCAACTTTTGCTGGGCAAGAAAGTTCCCCCACAGCAGCTTTCAGCCAAAATATTTCTTTGGCTAAAGAGTGTTGTTGGTCTTGATAAATTTAGCCTGTAGGTGCATGTTTTACTCACTGTCCACTGCCTTCTTAGCATTTATTTCAGGACCCAAACAAATCATTTGTCATAAGGACTAAAGCATCCTAGGGTGACAAAACAAATCAAATTACTTCTCAAAGTTCTACAGAATAAGAAGCAACACCAACAAGGTGGATCACCATCATGTAAATTCTTTGGGGAGGGGGGGCAAGTGAAAAGATACTCAGGATAAAACTACAGTGCTTAATGACCAACACAGCTGCAGACATGTTTACATGTCTGTGTGTGGGTAAGGGAGTATACCCACGTGCCTTGCATTCTCACATGATTGGCATGATTGGCTTATTTAATTAAAGTACCTTTGTGCAAGCAACATAAAGATCCTTACAATGAAAATCAGAGTGATGGAGTGCCCAGAAGGTTAGACCATAGCTAACTTGCCATTACAACAGGATCAGCTATGTTCATTTACTGACTAGCTTCACTCTTCTATTAAGATGCCAGTGAATTACTAAAAGAGGATGTACCTATTTTTGTTTCTCTCATTACAGAGAACTAAAATCAAAATTAATGCTAATCTAGCTTACTTTTCAAAGTCTCAAGCAGTAACCTGTGAAATGGTTGTGATAAAAAATGCATTTTATTCTTTGTGACTCTCAGCATCATGCTGCTTTTGTTTTCAGGGGTGATATGTTAGCTTTCTAAGCACAAACTTATAGCTAATTTTATGATAAAGGTTACACATAGGATACTAGCTTCTCCAAATAGGAGTATATTATGTCAATACAATCCTTCTCTTGTTAGTCTCTAAGCTTTGCTTACTGTTGTCTCCTCCGTGACATAGATAATACACAGTACTAAAGCAGTTATTTAATAGAGTTACTTTTCTTTTGAGATAAAAGTACAAACAAAGCTTAGACAAAAATAAAAGGAAACAAAAAATTAGCCTATTGAGAGCATAATTAATAATTAATTTCTTATGCTTCCATCAAAACATGAACAATGTTTAAGAAAATGCTATGTTTTGAAAAGAAAGTCATGGAGCTGGTGCACTGGCGAGTTTGATTTTTGGTATCTGACAGGTTCCTTGGCTCAAGAATGGGTTCGTGTAACTTCTATAATGATTGTTAAGAAATTTGAAAACTAATGCTATCACACTGTGAACAATCAAAGTCAAAGGAAACACCATTTTGAGAGCAAAATAATTACACTCAGGAACATTTAATGACATCTGGCCATCTTCCTTTTATTAGTATTTTAATACACTGAGTAATATAAAGAGAACAGAAGATTAGAGCCTGGGGTAAAGCAAGAAAACATGAATGCTTTACGCATGCAACAAAAATACAACGCTTCTGTAAGGGAAGCTTACATTGCCAAAATTCGGTTTAATGAGCTGCTTCAATGCATGACCTTATGGAAATTTGATAGCTATGGGTCATCTGAACTTGTCAGTTGGCCCCATGCAGCGATAATCAATTTTTCAATGTCAGACTCATTTACTCCTCGAAGAATCCTAAAATAGCCATTCTCTCCCCATGATTTTCCCCAGGAATTGGCAGCAATCTGCAGGAAAAACAAAAACATGAAAATGTTGAGGACTGTACTTTGATGGTTTTTAATCCTTTCTACAAGAACAGAAAAATAGCATTTAGCTTTAAATTGTCTTTGACTTTTGCAGATGAGAATGATTAGGCACCTAAATATTTTCTGGATGATGGTCAAGGTGTTCTATTACTTATATCACATTGATGCCCTTGTGTGTTTTCACTGGTAAGAGCCAGAAGTGATGTCCCTTAAGATGTGATGGTAAAACTGGATTGTCGACTTGATATAAAATTATATCTCCGGAGGTGGGAGTCTCACTGAGGAATTCTGTAGATTGGGTTGGCTTAGGAACATGCCTATGAGGACTTTTCTTAATTTGATTAACTGAGATAGGAAGACCCATCCATTAATTTGGGCAGAATCATTTCCTGGGCTGGGTCCTGGGCTGAATGAGAGAAAAAGCATGATGACAACCAGTTTAAAGGTATTTTTTGCTGTCTGCTGCTGACTGTGGCTATACCGTGAACAGCTCCATTAGTATTCCATTGCTGGGACTTCCCCCATTCTGAAGCACTTGAATCCAGAAATGTGAGATGAAATAAACCTCTTCTCCCCTAAATTAATTTTGCCATACCAAATGGAAAAGAAAGTAGGATACAGATGCACGAGAGTTTTGACCCATCCTTGTGCTAAACACCAAAAGTCCCCAAATAAATAATATATTTTTCTGAGTTCAGGGAAGTTATAACCTAATGAATTATAGCCACTATGAATTAGATGCTAAGGTGGAGATATGCCTATAGTGCTCTTGAGGTTACTGTAGCTGCATCACATTTGTTTGCTTGGTTCAGCAAAGGTGTGCACCCGCTATATGAAATGCATAGGGAAGGCTGTGCAGAGACTGGACAAACTGTCAACATAGGGAGATGCTGTAATAGAGGGAAGCAGCAAAACCCATAATTACTAAGCATGAAGCAGCATAAAGAAGTTTATTGAGGTAATTAAATCATTAAAATTCTTGTTAGGTAGCTCGGCTTGGCAGAAAACCTTAGATTTTCCCACAGAGCTCATATCAGCCTCAAATTCACTGAACAGCCCTTTAGTGTTTTGTGTCCTTGCACGAAGATTTTCCTCCCTAGAACTAGCACTATAGACAGGAGCCACCACGCCTCATTGCTAAACGATTTTTTTTCAGTTATGTAATCTAATGAAGGCAGAGAAAATAAAGTATCTGGGAAAGTGAAATCAGCAGGAATTAGAAATTTTTCCTTTTTTTTTTTTTTTTTTTTTTTTTCTTTTTTCACTCTGGGGATGATGAGAGAGCTGGGATGGGTCCAGAATAGCTCTTAGATCTAAGCTTGAGTGAGTAAGTACATTGTGAAGCAAAAGGACTAATGGAGTGTGCAGAGAATGTCATAAAGGCAGAAGAGGAGGCACATGGAGGGAATTAGTTGACCAGAGCTAAATGCAGTAGACCAGCTCCATTGATTAGAGATGTCACAACAACAGCTGCCACGCTTGGCTTCCATTCACCCTGTGCTGAGTCTAAGATGGAATATGATCTTGGGTTTGATCTACACTGACACTCCCAACGTATGTGGTGTTGCATTCAGCTTCTACGGTTTTTTCCAGTGAGAACGGATTCCCTCAGCTTTTGAAACTGTCATGACAATATGAGTTTTCAAAAACATCCAATTGTCATCAGCATTTTTTTTTTTTTAAGATTTGGCTTTTTGCCTCCTCAATCATCCCTGACACCTGAAAGGAGAACTCTCAAAGATGGGTCTGAAATAATAAATTCAATTTGTATTTTCAGAGATGAAATGGACTTTGACTAGCAGGAAATGAGACAGCCACAAAGTATGTGAGAGTTTGCAACTAGGATCTAAACAAACTAAAACATGTCTCCCCAAAGACAGAAAAATCAAATAAAAATAATCTCAAATGAAAAATATTTTAGGAAAGTTATTATTTCTATAGTGAAACTATATTTGTAGTATTGTGCCTGTTTTTATCTGACTACCTGAAGGCTATTAACATTGAATATTTTGTCACTTTACCTTTGTTGAATCTGAGATGTACATGTACAGTTTGTTAAACAAGTGCAAATTCATATGCTAATGAAAGTTGTGATAGCTAATCTTGGTTGTCAACTTGACCACATCTGGAAGCAACTAAAACCTAAGCAGCTGGGCATACCTGTGAGGGATTTTCTTGAGTGGATCATTAGAAGAGGGAATACTGACCCTAAATCTGGGACACACCTTCTGTTGACTTGCATAAAAGGACATGGCAGAAGGAGTATTCTGCTTTTCGTCTGTTTGCCCTCACTCTCCTGTCAAGTTTATCTAGCTTCTTATTAAGGCTTCACTGAGGTCAAAACCTCCTTCTCCAGGATCCCAACACAGACTAAAGGCTGGCAGCTCTCGAGATATCTTGTGGCTCTCAAACACAAGATTAGGACTGCTGAGATTAATGTAGAGTCAATTCAAAATACTTTTCAAAATTTCTTAACTTTGTCACAAAGAGGACAAGAATTGTGTGTGGTGGGATATTAAATTTGTCCCACCACAAAATTCATTAATGATCTAAATATTAATAAATTATAAATAAACTGTCCTATCCACCATCTCATACAATATGTCTTCAAGAAATCCACACCTATTACTAAAGTCAGCTTTAAAGTATTGAAAGCATTTCTCTTATCATTAGAGAACAAAGCATAGACATTCATTATTGTCACATCCATCAACACTTCAACAAAGGTTCCTTAGGTTTCATTTAATGAAAGGAAAGAAATATGAAGAATGTATAAGGAATATAATTACCATACACAAGAGATATGCTTCTATTTATAAGAGACCATAATACTTCACCAGAATTTTTAAGAGCTCATAAACACTTTCATTAAACTTCTGGGATAAAAAATTAACATATAAATATCAGTAGCCTTTTTATCTATATTTCAATTACAAACACATTGAGAAAAAATCAGAACTTGGTAGAAAAATAAGAGAAGAAAACTAAATGATAAAAGCAGAAAAATAAGTCAAATTACCCCTATTTGTAGATGATATATTATGCATAAGAGACCCCCAAAATTCTACAAGCATAATTGTAGCAATGATCAAAACTTTCAGGAAATTGACAAGGATACAAGAAAACACAGATACACCTCTTTTTCACAGTATCCTCAGACAAAGTATCTAGAAGTAAACCTAATCAAGTAGGTTTAACACCTCTATAGCGAAAACTTTAAATCTCTGAAGAGGTTGGGGGAAACACTAAGAAATAAAAATACTTCTTCTGCATTGATAGAATTAATATTATGTCAAGAGCTATTTTTATATCAATGCATTTCCAATCTTGATCATTTCATTCCTCATAGGAATAGAAAATGTCCTAAAATTTACATGAAGCCACAAAAGACTCCAGATATCTGAAACAATCCTAGCAAAGTGAACAATGTTGGTGAGTAAACATTCTAGATTTCAAGACATATTACAGAACTATCGTAATGAAAAACAGACTGGTGTTGGCTCAGAAAACAGACATGTAGACCATTGGAAGAAAATAGGAAATCCAAATGTTGGCATACATGACGGCAACCATCTGATTGTTAACAAAAATGACAAAAACATACACTGGAGAAAAGATCATCTTCAATAAGTGCTATTGTGAACACTAGGTGTCCACATGTAGAAGAATTAAATTAGACCTGTCACTTCAAGCTTCCTGTCCTCTCCGTTAGGAGTCTCAGCTAGAGTCACACCCATCTTCACCCAAGAGCCTACCCTACACAGGCCTCCAGCTTAACAAAGAGATGCCCCAGTCAGTTTCCCTTCTTGTTCCCACCCCTTTCACCTCCCACCCCTCTTCTCCCCACATTTGATCCCCACTCTTGCTTCCCTCCCCAGTCTTTACCTCTCTTCATCCACTTCTGCTGTCTATCTATTTCCCCTTCTTTTTATTAAATTTATTTTTTATTAGTTATAGTTTATTCACTTTGTATCCCAACTGTAGCCCCCTTCTTCATCCCCTCCCGATCCCCTCCTTCCTCCCTCTTCTTTTACTATGCTCCTCCCCCAGTCCACTGATAAGGGAGGTCCTCCTCCCTTTTTATGTGACCCTGGTCTATCAGGTTTCCTCAGGACTGACTGCATTGTCTTCCTCTGTGGCCTGGTAAGGCTGCTCCCCCATCAGGGGGAGGGGATCAAAGAGCCAGCCACTGAGTTCATGTCAGAGACAGTCCCTGTTCCCATTACTAGGGAACCCTCTTGGACACTGAGTTGCCATGGACTACATCTGTGCAGGGGTTCTAGGTTGTCTCCATGAATAGACCTTGTTTGGAGTATCAGTCTCAGAAAAGACCCCTGTGCCCATATTCGTTTGTTCTGTTGCTCTATTTCCCCTTCTGAGTGACATTCTGGCACAATCCTTTGGGCCCTCTTGTCACATACCTTCTTTGGGTCTGTGGATTGTAGTATGGTTGTCCTGAACTATAGGTCTAATATCCACTTGAAAGTGAGTACATACCATGTGTGCCTTTCAGGGTCTGGGTTGCATCACTTAGGATGATCTTTTCTATTTGCCTGCAAATTTCATGGGTTCATTTTGTTTTGTTTTGTTTTTAATAGCTGAGTAGTATTCCATTGTGTGAATGTATTCATTCTTTGCTTGAGAGACATCTAGGTTGTTTCTAGTTTCTGTCTATTACAAATAAAGCCAATATGAACATAGTTAAGCAAATGTCCCTCTTGTGTGGTGGAGCATCTTTTGGGTATATGCCCAGGAGTGGTATAGCTGGGTCTTGAGGTAGAACTATTTCCAATATTCTGAGAAAGAGTCAGATTGATTTCCAGATAGGCTGCACAAGTTTGTACAAGTTTGCACTCCATTGTACTCCAGCAAAGGAGGAGTGTTCCCTTTTCTCCAAATCCTCAACAGTGTGTGTTATCACTTTAAGTTTTTTATCTTAGCCACTCTGATTGGTGTAAAATGAAATCTTAGCATCATTT